TTGGAAGGGAGAGAGAAAGAGAAACATTGATGGATTGCCTCTCAAATCAGCCCTGACTTGGGATTGCACCTGCAATCTTAGTATTTGCCCTGACCAGGAATCACCCCACCACCACCTTTTGGTGTATGCGATAATGCTCCGGTCAACTGATCCTTCAAAAGTGAATGTTTATTTCCTTTTAAGTAACTTCTGCTTGTGGTGGTTTATCCTGATTTGATTTTACTATTTCCTTTATTATAAAAATGATTTTTCTCAGTAATAAAATAATTATAAATAATGTAAAATTTTCAAGACCTTTTCCGGGAATATATCATTTAGTTTGAAGTGCACATTGCCTGAATTAGAATTGGTTCTAAAAAGAAAGGATCACTTTGGGTTTGCCCAGTATATTGTAACAGTGCTATCCAAATGAAATTTTACACTTTGCTTCAAAAAAAATTTTTTTAAAACATATCTTTATTGATTTTAGAGAGAGGAAAGGAGAGGGAGAGAGAAAGAGAGAGAAACATCAATGATGAGAGAGTCATTGATTGGCTGCCTAGCCCCCATCCCAGGCATGTGCCCTGACCGGGAATTGAACCCCGATCTCCTGGATCTTAGGTCAATGCTCAACCGCTGAGCCACACCCAGCCAGGCTGCTTCAAATTTTTAAAGCATATTTCTTTAAAGAAATAAGGGAATGTCTGAATTATCCCCTTACTTTTAATTGTGTTAAAACACACATAATACAAATAAGCTATATATTGATACTAAGTACATTCACATTGTTGTGCAATCATCACTGCCATTTTTCAGAACTCTTTATCTTACAAAACTGTTTCTCTGTACCCATCAAACAAGAACTCCATTTTTCTATTACTCAGTCTTGGCAATGACCATCTTAATTTTTGTTTCTTTTTGGTATCTTATAAAAGTAAAGTCATACAATATTTGTCCTTTTTCTTACTAACTTATTTCACTAAGAATAATATTTTTAAGTTTCATGGCTGCTGTAGAATATATACGAATTACTTTTATTTTTAAGGCTGAAAAGTATTTTATTGTATATATAAACATTGTGTTTATCTGTTTATTTTTCTTTGGACACTTACTGCTTTCAGTTTCTGGCTATTGTGCTTGATTCTGCTATGAACGTGGGTGTATAAATGTCCCTGTTCTCAATATTGTTGGTGGGTATACACCCAGGATTGGTATTGCTGGATAATAGCATAATGCTGTTTATAATTTATTCAGAATCACACATACACTGTTATCCGTACTAGCTATCCATACATTTTGGCATGTTGAGTTTTCATTTTCATTTCTCTGAAGATATTTTCTAATTTCTCTGGTGCTGTTTTCTTTGGCCCATTGATTGTTAAAAATTATGTTAAATTCTCACATACAGGCTTACTTTGAAGATATTGAGGGTTCAGTTCCACACCACCACAATAAAGCAAATGTCAGAGTGAAGTGAGTCACTTTAATTTTTTGTGTCTAGTGCATATAAAAGAAATGTTTATACACTCCTGTACTCTAAGTGAATAGCGCTGTGTCTTAAATATACATTGTATGTACCTTAATTTAAAGATACTTTATTGATAAAAAAACAATACTGACCACCATGTGAGCCTTAAGTGAGTTAGAATCTCTTTCGAAGGTGGAGGGTCTTACCTCTTTGTTAGGTCTTCTGACTGATCATGGTGATGTTACTAAGGTTGATGAGCTTGGCAGTTTCTTAACATTAGACAACAATGAAATTTGCTGCATCAGTTTACTCTTTCATTTGAACACCTAAAGGCCATTGTGGAGTTATTAAGTGGCTTGATTTTTTTTTTTTTTTTAATCCTCACCCTAGGACATTTTCTCCATTGATTTCCAGAAAGAATGGGAAGAAGGGAAAGGGGAAGGAGAGAGAGAAAAACATAGATGAGTGAGAGAAACATAGATGTGAGAGAAACACATTGATTGGTTGCCTCTCCCATGTGCCTGGATCCAGGGTGGGTAACCTGTAACCGAGGTACGTGCCCATGACCGGGAATGGAACTCATGACACTTCTGTCCTAGGGCCGACACTAACCACTAAGCCAATTTTGTCAGGGCTAAGTGGCCTAATTTTAATATTGTTGTGTGTTGTGTAATATGGAGGCCTGAAGAGAGAGAGAAAGAGACTGTGGAAGGGTGGGTTGGTGGAATATACACAGCATTTATACAATAAGTTCACTATCTTATGTGGGTGTAGTTTGTGGTGCCCCCAAACAATTACAGTACTAACATTAAAAACCACTGGTCACAGATCACCATAACACATACAATAATTATAAAGAAGTGTGAAATACTGTCAGAATTACCAAAATGGAGGGCTGCCACAGACCGTCAAATTGTGAAAAGCACAGTATCTGAAATAAAATGAGATGTGCCTGTATTTGTAGATTTTTCCAGTTGCCCTACTATTTTTTTCTTTTAGTCCTTACCCAAGGATATGTTTTTTGAGTTTTTCAGAGACAGTT